TAATTAATGTCGAAATATTGAATCCCAACACCTGTCTCTTATGCACATCTAGATGTGTATAAGAGACAGGGTTTATAGTTCTGAATGAAGGGCATAAAAAATGCCATCTTCTAATGTCGTTTTTCTTTTCCGCCGAAAATAATATTTTCAACGCTTGTAGTTGTAACATTATGGACCTATAGGTCTATATTCCTTATTAGTCTATATTTTATCTAGTTTAGGAAGCAGTCAACTACTTAGATAGGCCTAGGTTTGTGCAATTCAGGCGCTGTCTCTTATACACATCTAGATGTGTATAAGAGATCTCTTTAAAATCGATGAAAATGCGTCATCATTAGAATCATGCCTGCGGTCCAAATCGATCTATGTTTCAACTGTGCATTTGCTAATTACATTCCGATTTATGTTAAGAATTCAACCTCAAGATGTATTTTCTGCCCATGTTTTTGGATAAACAAACACGCATTAAGCTCATCACCCGATGAATATTACTAAGTGTTAGCAATAATTAAGAATTCTCCTGGAAAGTGTTTGTGGATTACTATATGAATATTCATAACTTCTTGTATACGTCATCAGAGGGTTGCGATTTAGATTTAGGCCTAAACGTACGTATTTGCGTTACAATGGCTAACATACTTTCACCAACAGTATCTTTGCCTGAAAATATAATTGATGAGGGTGATTAACATGGTTTCTTCAGCTAGTAACTTGTGCCTCCGGATAGAATTATCTACGGCAACACTTCAGTGTGGTGGCCTATACAAGTTTGTACTCGGCATTTTATATTACGTATGGGTGTCAAACGATGCTAACGATTTGTATGCAATGTTCATCATGCACGCTTGAGTTGCCACGCTGTTTGAAAAATGAGTCCGAAGGGATACCAACTAGGCCTTCAGTCATAGTGTAAACAAAAATCAAATATTGTACATAAACAGATAGAACGATCGATGTACATAAATAGATCGATTGATACTATCGATCGATTAATTACCAGTCAATATATCATTTTTATTACTAAATCAATCAATTAATATAGGTTTATAGTTCTGAATGAAGGGCATAAAAAATGCCATCTTCTAATGTCGTTTTTCTTTTCCGCCGAAAATAATATTTTCAACGCTTGTAGTTGTAACATTATGGACCTATAGGTCTATATTCCTTATTAGTCTATATTTTATCTAGTTTAGGAAGCAGTCAACTACTTAGATAGGCCTAGGTTTGTGCAATTCAGGCGTACGTCCGTCCTACTATAATAATATAAATAATATTGTTTAAAGGTTAAATAATATTAATGGCACATTTTAAGATGATGCCACTGCTTTTTTCAAGTAACTCTAAATCGTACAGAGATTCGGGTTTGGTCAGGGTGGAATTTTGTGTGTTGCGATATTGAGCTAGGAGATCTTAGTCCATCCTTCCAACACACCAGTTTCGTAAGATCAGGGGCAGTATTCAACTCCCTGAGTGCTATCGTCAGGCCACACTTGTAATGGAAATCTGCTGGCATCTAATAAGTTAGAATGATGTTTTTAATAATTATGATTATAATAATGGACCTAATAATAAATTAATAATATTGTATAATTCTTACCTGTCCAGGATCAGTTCCTCAAGCTTTGGTAAATCACAAGCTATATGTTCTAGGGCTGTGTCAGTAATCCTAGGGCACCACGATAAATCTAGAGACTTTAACATACCCATGTTCTCGGCAATAAGACGAACACCTTCATCAGTGATTTTGCTACAGCCAGACAGACTCAAAACAGCTAGGCTTGGTAAGCTACTGACAATATTTACTACAGCATTATTACTAATTTCCCAGCAGGATTTTAACCTCAAGACGGACATCGTATCGCTTTGCTTTCCACTAAAGTACGCCAGTACTCCGTCGGTCACATGGTATGCCTGGAGATTTAGTTCCTGAAGAAATGGCAGACGCTGGGCAATGGCAGCGACGCTATCGTCTGCCACATTGATACAATCACTAATACTAAGAATAGTTATCCTAGGCAGTAGACTAGACCAGAGACCATTTTCTGTGAAATCATTACATCCACTAAGCTCGAGATTCTCGAGAGCTCCGAGCTGTTCAATCATCACTTCTAGACCCGCATCACTAACCGTTGATCGTTTCAGACTGACTGCTTTCAAGCATTTCTTTGTTTTAGGACAATGATCTATAAATTCACAGATATCTAAATCTCCTACGTTTACTAAGCATACAGAATCAAAGCCCCGCTCTTCAAAACTGACTAAAGAAGTAAAAGCGCGAGATCCTCCTTCTTTGGTGTCGTACAGGTCTCGCCTGTGTAATATCGGTGTCACATCTCTCCAGTATTTAGATTGATAAAGTATTTTCTTCCAAGATCTACACACTTGCGCTAGCACACATCGCTCACAAGGACTAAAGTAACACAACACCTTCTCCAGATACTGCTGGCACAGCAGTAATTCAGAGAAGTCCTTAGCGCGCAAAACTTCAGAACCGCGACGAACTGGCGGTGACAGCGTCTTGCTAGAGCCTAGAATTCTTTCCTTCAGGGAACGCTTTTCTTTCTGGCTCGTTTGTTCCTGAGCTCCCTGATTATTATTATTAGCAGCGTCTGTTTTTGAACACAAACTCGAGAAAAACCCACTTGCCTTCATGATTTTACTACTGTCTTTGTCAAATCCTGCTCGCGTCTCGCCTAGGTGTAGTCCATTAACTATATTCCATGTCTTCTTTACCACTGTTTCCATAATATCATCTGTCAAATTTATGATAACACGAAAGTCGGCACGGTGAGGAAGTTACGTGTTATCGCGATGCAGTGTCTATGAGCAGAAGCTGCATCTCTATATCGTTGGCTATGTCTATCCTGTATGACATCTAGATAATGAGCTCGAGTGTCTTGCTTACTGCACACGGTTAAAACGAAGGGAAATGAAACACATTAATATTGAGTTCGATCCCTGACCCTTCTGATGACTCATTCATAATTTTCTATACATCCTCTGATCCTATTAGTGTCTCTGGAGCACGCGTCCGCCGCCGTATCAGCGCTCATCGATAGAAATTAAGATTATTATTGCTTGTCAACTTTTCCTTTCGATACCATTTCAGCCAGTACTGGCCATCATTATGCTAAGACTGCATAATGCAATGTTTGATGAAGAATTAACATTTTCTCAACTCGGTTTTCTACAGTACATTACGTTTCAATTATTACAATTTCTATCACCAGCGATATTTAAATAGCAATTGTTTTCACTAAATATCCACTCGACCACGCTGCTGTGCAGAAATTTAATCATTCCATGTAAATAGCTCACCTCCTGAGATCGCGGGTAGTTAGTATTGCAATGCTCATTACAGCAAATCGACTCGATTACTTGCCCGTGACGTCACCGATGAAGTAAATTACGATGCTATAACGTATGTTTTTGTTAAAGAAGCAATTACATTAGCAAAGGTCATGATAATTCCACAGAGTTTCATGAATTCACCCACCCATTGACCCTACACCCAACCTCCTATACTTACACGTCATTTCTCTTCTTATTTTTAATATTATTATTTTTAGTATTATATAATGATTATTATTATTGTTTTTTTTACTAATAGTATTTTTATTTTTTATTATTAATACAATAAGAAATATAATAAATGATTATTTAATTATAAAATGTGAATTATTGACTATTATATATATATATAATAATAATAATAATTATTATTATTATTATTATTATTATTATAATTATTATTCATCTAACGAGAATAATTTGTTTAACTCATGTTCTAAGCGATAGTAGTAATATTCCATAATTTCAAATGTGAGCGTGGGTCATTTAAGAGCAAATTCATTTTTCGAGATGGCACGGGTTTCATATAAATGTCAACTATTCCAGAGAATGCTATGTCCATTTTAAGTATTATATCTACATCTATCTACCTTGACGCGTATGCTAAGATCGACAATTTATGTAGACGTAACCTTCATTTATTCGGATTTACCCGGTTTTCATTTCATCAATGAAACGCGCAAATTGACATTGGCTGCGAAATCGTCGTCCAACTAATGACGTCATATCCTGCTTGGAGATCAAGATGATGCGTAGAATGACGTCAATCGTAACTGCAGTTTGCCTGTTTTCGACTTCCCCTTCAATTGGCCTGTCGCAAGTGTTCACCTCATGATTTTAATGAGTGTACATTCGTTCACGGTTCTATGTGATTTGTGACACATCTCTGAGGGCAAAGCAGACGAGAACTCGATTCTGTCCTGGAGTATTAGGGTTTAACCAGGAAATTTTTTATAACAATTAGAATAGGTTTCAGATAAGAAAGTATAATACATACTCCAAGTATTGGAATACACGCCATCGTGTTGGGATTCAATATTTCGACATTAATTATATCATCATCAGGAATGATGTTAAATCAGGAACAGTTAAATTAAAGCATTGCCTGGGTTCAGATCATAAGGTAAACAAAATGGCTGCCATTTTAAATGTCTAATGTACCGTAATTTTTACAACCAAGCATTTCGACATTAATTATGTCATCATCAGGAATGATGATGACATACCGGTAATTAATGTCGAAATATTGAATCCCAACACGATGGCATGTATTTCAATACCTAGAATAGGTTTATTCATGAATTATATAGTAGATTAAATTAATAAATGAAATCCCTTTGCAAATTTCAAGAAGGCGTCCAAAACGGCCACACTACATTGAAGTGTTAGAAATAAGTGTCTAAACATTCTAAGATAAATCATGGATTCTAATAAAAAGGAGTCGACACAGGCCTACAAATGGTTTCACGTTTAGTGATTCAGACGCCTTCCAATGCCAATGCTTATTGTTTATTCCAGATTTTATTGAATATTAATTACACCGTGCGTCAACAGTTAAATCAAAGCATTGCATGGGTTCAGATCATAAGGTAAACAAAATGGCTGCCATGTCTAATGTAACTTTTACAACCAAGCATCATTAGGATCAACAACGTAAAGTGAAAAATATTTTATGTAAGTCACATGGAAATTAATTATTACCACCTTTTGAATGTTGTATTGTATTTTATCTTTGCAGGATCATATTGTACACCAGCGTAACCATCTCGTCAGTATATATTATCCTACCCAAATATGTATAATAAATAACATCAACATCGTTTAGATTGTTGTTGCAAGTTTGACCGCAATAAGAGTAAAGTGTAAGATGTTTGCTACAACCACGTTGTTTTCCCCCACATAAACAGGTCTTCCCTGTTGAACAAAAGTCTATTAGTGCAAAAGTTCCATTCTAGAAGGCAAAGTATGAACCATCCTATCCTGAAACGCGATAAAAAAAAAGTGAGAAATAAATGTTTTTTGCAACACTAGTTGGAAGCGTGACTCTCTTGCTGGAATACTCGGAGAACTGCGACCGCCCGTTTGTATGGGATGTGGTGGCGGTATTCATCAAATGATTCAATTGTTTTGGTCCCAATCGCTTAAGAATAATTGTTTCACTCTTTTTAGCTAGTCAAGTGTTCGTAAAAGTATCCAGAAAAAGGTCAAGTATCATGTTGAACGCGTTCGCTTGCCCTCTTTTCTTTTCAATGACAAGTTCAGACATCTGAAGACGTAACCTTCATTACCGTACTGCGCATGAAGTAATCTAAAGTAGTAATTCCGCATTATTGCGCATGAAGTAATCTAAAAACTGCTTGTTTTATTGACAAATCATTAGCTTTATATTTAACATGTCATGTGACAGAAAATCATTTAATTTGTCTCAAAAATCTTCCAAAGCTATGAAAATTACGAAGGCCCTTATGAAGGCCCATATGTTTTAATTTCATTAGTTGCAAACGATTACTTTTTAAATTAAACGTCTCTAATTTCATAGTTTATGTTCTGTGTTTGTAATGCCTTTGTTGATATTGTTTTTACTGTATTTCATTATGTGGCTTTATGTTTTCCCGAAGTATTTTTGTTTGTTTTTTATCTGAAGTTCTCTAGAATTGTGTAGACTTGGCTTTAGCTTCGTAACTGTTAGGAAAGGTGCATTTGCACAGTACCAGTACAAACTAATTAAGTTATGGACACCTCACCCAGTGGCGTATCATGGGTGGTAGGGTATACAAAATAATCGTATACGAAAGACTCACTAAAGGATGAAATGTAAACTGGAAATTTTGTCAGTAACTCACGAAACCTCCTTCCGCACTCATGCCTGCACGTGCGCATTCCAGACTGACCAACCTACTACGAAGGTGATCCGTATCCCTGTGTTTCTATGAAGGTGGTTTTCTTCCTAACTCTGTTCATGTCCATCCAGTGGTTGTCATGACCAGCGGCGTAGCGTGGGTGTGACGGGCCCGTGCAAGATAACTTCCGGGTCCTAAAAGGCACCTGATCGGACCCAGAGACAGAGCCTTGGTAGGGTCTACTTAGGCCAAACTCTTCTGAAATTAGTTTAAAACAGATACGACATTGTACGGAGCATAAATATTCAACATTCAGACATTCAAAGATATTAACAATATAGTAAAAAAAAAAGTGGTGGTCCTAATTAGGCCCTACGGCATAGTGTGTGCCCTATGCCGTAGTAATTACGACATATCGTGTGTCGTAATTATGACATAGTGTATAGGTATATCGTAATTACGATTTGATTATGTCGTAATTACGACTTACCATAACATATACACACTTTAATTGGCACATACAGTCTTTTCTAGATAATACTACCTAAAGATGGACTAAGAAAAAATATCGCTACATAGGAGCCTACGCCCTCTATAGTATTATTTCATTTCACACTAATTCTTGTATTCAACTGTGCCCATACTTAAAGACTGGAAATGTAAAATTCACTACACACGTCAAAGAAAGTTTACCAGAATGAAACACAATTTTGGTATAACACTGCTGCTGACGATTTCATCCGCTGCTGCCGCTCTCGGCATACAATACGACGAGAGGAAAACGCTTTATATTGGAAGTTTCGTTCTGGATCCTGATATTAGTTTTGTTGTTGATGGCATAATTTACGGTCAGAACAGAGCTTTAGAATTTATCAACAACTCATCAGATATCTTGTCTGGATACAAACTCGACGTCGTTCAGAGATGGACATCCGTAAGTATTGAATGTCATATTCTTATAACAGGCCTAATAGGCCTAAGAGAACCTAAAGCTGCCGCTGTTGGTTCAGGTAAATTGGATCACGGGGGGAGGGGGGTCAACTTTTTTTCTTTCGTACTGGTTTGCCCAGTAAGTTTGAGCTAAGCTTCTGATTTCATGTTTTACTCTTGAATGTGATGTATATTCAGAAACAAGTATGAAGAAATTAACCGTTAATTGATAACAAGGTTGTGGTGACAGCATTAATTGGAAAAGAAATTCAATAATGACTTCTAGACTCGGAAATATATAGTTTTAAATTATTAATTAGAAGGCGATATTAAATAAACTAATCACTCTATGGAAGTGTTTTGCCATACATCTCAAACGTCTCACCTTCATTTTAAATCGTTTGTAACTTTAACAAGATACAAGATATATTCATTGGTCAATGTGTGCAACTTGGTTCACATAAAATTTGGTTTCCAGATGCTTTAACATGTATAGGCCTAATACAAATAGAATATTGAACTACTACACAAAATCAAGATATATTGCAATACAATAGTGGAGTGGAGTTGAATAGCTCAGTGGTTAAGATGCTTGCCTTCTGATCCCAGGGTCCTGGGTTCAATTTCTTTGACAGCAGGACTTTTTTCTCACGACTAAAAACAACTCCACTCCCTAAGCCTCATAAAGAGACTTAGTTTATAAAGCATCATTCCCTTCCTGTAAGTGGCGGGTATACTTGCTGTTGGATGTGAAGAATATTTAAAAAAAAATAAAATTAAAAAATTAAAAATGAAAAAAAAACAACAATAGAACTTTAAGTAAAACTACAAACATGTTCAAAGAAACAAATGGTAAGGCAATCTTTATGATAAATATATAAAAAAGACAAAAGATACATATTGCAATTTAGAGGTTAAGGTGTAAATGAAAGTAACATGGTACAGAGGAGTTTGATTTTACAGAAAGGTGGATGAGCAAGGCTTGTAGATGATACGAATTTATTTTCCAATTCCCTCAAATTTTGTAACTAGACCCGTAGATACATTCAATTACCTTGTTCATTAGTTAATTATTAATGAAATAATCACCTTGATATTTTTATAAATATACAACACTAAACAATAAAAACCAGATTAAAATTCCTAACACATATCATCTCCAGAAGTTCCACTCTTGTTATGTTTTGGAATTCATAATATACATAGTCTTTAACTTGTATAATACAAGATACCGTACCGTACGAGACCTTGGTTTTTCTAGTACTTTATGAGTTCCTACACACACACACACACACACACACATGATTTGCATAAATTACAAAACTATGTTTTTATGTATCGCTTTAGAAATGAAACATTACCCCCACATATTCATAATCTATTTCCAAAACAACAGGCTGATATACATGACCATAATACTAGATTTGCTAAAAGTAACGTTTTATTTGAAAAATATACATCCTCTTCTAGAGAAAAATTCATATTTTACACTAGTCCAAAATTATGGAATTCCTTAAAAACTTCCTTTAAATCCTTACCTAATTTTAACTCTTTTAAATACAATCTTAAAAAGTCTCTGGTCTCGGAGTATGGCCGGTAAGTCTCCTGGTTGGTCTGCCTGTCTGTCTGTCGGTCATTCTTATTTGTACTTAACGGACTGCCACATTATATATATGTTTGTTTGTATATGTATGTGTGTATATATATATATATATATAGATAGATATATATACTATATAGTGTATGTATATATATACATATATATATACATATATATATATATTTGTGTGTATGTATGTGTGTGTATGTATATATGTATATGCATGTAT